ACAAGAGTAACAGAACTGTGCTGTCTTCTGGGATTTTGTTTTTTACTTTTTTGTTGTTGTTGTTGTTTGTTTGTTTTTTGGTTTTTGTTTGTTTTTTGGTTTTTTTAAAATGGAGTGTGCTGGATGTCTCTACAATTTTGTTCAAAGGACTACAGAACCTGGAAAAGCTGTTGCTGCAATTGATGCATAACATATTGCCATTATTGCTCTTTTTATATAAATACAAATATATACATATATATAAGCTAAAAAAATAATATGTTATTCTTCACAGACTACAAAAACAATAAAGAATAGATGATATGTAAGCAGATGAGAAGCAGCCAGCCTTCTGTGGCTCTTGCCTAAGTCTTGTCAAGATGTGCTGTCTGAGGCTTCAGACGCCCATCCCCCCACTCTTACCCCCCCACCCTCCCAAGATGTCTTTAAAGTGTCCAGTGCATCTGGGTGTGCCTGTATGAGTTTATATGCATCACACACATGCATGCAAGAGTCCTCTGGGCATCAGATCCCCCTGGAAATGTAGTCATAGGCGGGTGTGAGCTGCCATGAGAGTACTAGGACCTGAACCCTGGTCCACTGCAAGCACTCAAGTGTTCTTAGCTCCTGAGTCATCTCTCTAGTCCCATTTAGCAGCTATCTTGGAACCATGAAGAAAGCCAGCCTAAAAGGCCAAGCCATATCACTGAGAACAGCAGGCTGTGGAGATGGAAAGCATATCTTTGAATAATATCACTGAGCTGCAGAACCAACCATCTGGGTGAAAGGTTCAGGCATTACGCTGGCCTGGCCTTTGGCAGAATCCACTCAGGCAGTACCCTGGTCAGCCCAGGGGTCCATGGAGACTAAGTCTACACACAGGTGTAAAGGACCCCTTTAAAAGACAGACCCCTGCCCACTTAGGCTCTCTTCTCTCTCTTCTCTTACTGACTTACTCTCTCGTCTTCCTCTTTATCTTTGCTCTCTCACTCTCTCTGTCTCTACCACTCCCCCCCCAATAAACTGGTTAATGTGCTCTCTATAGTTCGTGTTCTATCGTGCCTGTTTCCATCTCACAGTTTTCTTTTCATTTTTCTAACTTTTAAACTTTTATAAAATGACAACACCGGGTCCATTCAACTTGGGGTTTTCTCCTTGTGTAGAATGACAGGTTCTCTCCCATTTGCACGATCACAGTTGCCTGGCACCCATGGAGCCCTAGACCCTATTCTATGTTGTTGAACAAAACACAAGATCACAGGTCCTGGTGGAGTTAGAAGTTTAACTGTTGGCATCCTGGCATAATGCTGACCTGCCCCCTGTCAGCTGTCAGGATGCATTCAGACAAATACTTAGTCAACCCAGGGGGCCCTACAGCCATAGGTCACTCACTACCTCATGAGCTGCATGGCTACCCCATGCCTTACCGGCTCTATGCACATGCGCAAAGGGTCTCTTTTAAGCAAGCTCACCTGCCCCTCCTCTCTTTTCACTACTTCCCTTTCTCCGGTCGACCATCACACCCCCCCCCCAGTAAACTTCCCTGTAGGTTTGTTGTATTCTGTGATTTGTTCTCAAAGCCACCACTAAAGTACAACACTAGTCAAGAGAGATAATGCACCAAAGACAAGCAAAGGAAGCCTATGAGACTATGCTAAGCTAGGCAAGGAAGCGTGTGGAGCAAACGGACCAGGCCCTGGGAGTAAGGGGACAGGCTTTGGTGTCAAACTGAAGACAGGGCAGGTTGAGCTCGGTGAAGAAGGAGATTAGACTAATAGTATAAGAAGAAACAGAAGGTTATTTTTCAGACATTCAGAATTCTGTTCTGTCAGTCCGTGCTCAGAAACAATTGCTCACCACATTGTAATTTGCTCATGGATCTGCGAAACAAGCTGTTGTTTCTGTTGACAATCCTTTTCGTGCTTCCAGGAGCATGTTTTGTCGATGCTGTCATGGCCTAAAGACCCTCGCTTGCTTCAGTGTTATCTTTTGTCTCTGTGTTTGTGTTTGCTTGGTTGTTTTTTGTTTGTTGGTTGCTTTTTATTTTTTGAGATAGTCATGTCTTTGTTACTGTTCTGTTGCTTTAAGAAGATACTATGACCAAGACAACTTTTAAAAGAAAGTGTTAGTTGGGAGCTTGCTTACAGTTTCAGAGGGTTGGTCCCTCATCATCATGGTGGCAGAGAGGCAGGCAGGGACGGTGTTATAGCAGTAGCTAAGGGTTCACATGTGATCCAGAAGTTTCAGGCAGAGAGAGAGTGTGTGTGACTGGGCATGATCTGGGCTTTTGAAACCTCAAAGCCCCCACTCAGTTCATACCTCCTCCAACAAAGTCACTCCTCTTAATCCTTAGCAAACACTTCCACTAACTGGGGACCAAGCATTCGACTATATGAGACTATGGTGGCCATTCTCATTCAAACCACAAGTCTCGTGTAGCCTAAGTTGGCCTCAAACTTGAACTCATGTAGACTAGGTGGTGTTGAATTCCTGATACTCCTGGGATCAAATCCAGACATCCTCCATATTTTTAATTTCTCTCTCTCTCTCTCTCTCTCTCTCTCTCTCTCTCTCGTGTGTGTGTGTGTGTGTGTGTGTGTGTGTGTGTGTGTAAGAGTGCATGCACCGTGTGCATGTTGTGCCCACAGAAGCAATAGGGCCTCAGATTTGGAACTGGAATGACAGGTATTTGTGAGCCACCTGATTTAGGTGTTGGGAGCTGAACCTGAGTACTCTGTGAGGGCAATAAATAAGCAATCTCTCTCTTCATTTATATATTCTATTTTGAGGGGGAGGTTCTTAGACAGGGTTTCTCTGTGTAACTTTAGAGCCTATTCTGGAACTCGCTCTGTAGACCAGGCTTGGCCTTGAATTAACAGAGATTCACCTGCCTTTGCCTCCCCAGTGCTGGGATTAAAGATGTGCACCACCACCTCCAGGCAAATATTCTTATTTATTTATTATTTATTTTTTGTTTTTTTTGAAACAGGGTTTCTCTGTAGCCCTGGCACTCGCTCTGGAGACCAGGCTGGCCTCAAACTCACAGCGATCCTCCTGTCTCTGACTCCTGAGTGCTGGGATTAAAGGTGTGTACCACCACCGTCCAGCTAATATTATTTTGTTTTGTTTTGCTTTTGCTTTGTTTTTTTCAGGCAGGGTTTCTCTGTGTAATAGGCCTGGCTGTCCTGGAACTCTCTTTGTAGACCAGGCTGGCCTTGAACTCAAAAAGATCCACCTGCCTCTGCCTCCAAAGTTCTGGGATTAAATATTCTTAAATGCATCTGTTAACTCACTTTCTTTTTTCTATGTGAATACCCTCTTCTAACTTCATATAGTACTCTAGGCCTCTTTAGAGACACTAAGAGGAATAAGTCCAAAATAAAGCAAGCAAAACAAAATTCCCTCTCACTTTTCCTATTAGTTGCACCCCCACACTGCAAGATTTTAGATCTTGTATCTTGTCTTTTTCTTTTTCTTTTTTTTTAACCTCATTTAATGTTTACAACAACCCTATGAGGTATTCTTGTCATTTCACAGGTAGCAAACTGCCTCGAATGCAGAGAAGTGTCAGTGCGGTTTCTGGCCCCTAATACACACATGGCACGTATTAGCTCCTGCTGGTGTGGCCTTGCTTCCCTGAACCAATTCAAATATGTGCTGTATTTTCCTACCACACTCTCTTGGGTTAATTCCACACTTAGGTTGTCAGCTTTCCATTGAGTGATGAAAATCAACATAAAGGAGGGAAATTTTATTCTGGCTCATAGCTTTAGATGTTTTGGTCCATGGTGGGCCAACTCTCTTATTTCTGGACCTGCAAAGCGGCAGAACACCATGGTGTGAGGGCAGAGTGGAGTAAAGCTGTCATTGACTTCATGGGAGCCAGAAGGGACAAGGAGGAGGAAAACGGTGATGGGCGAGGGTGTTGGAGCAGGGAAGGTAGTCCCGATTTGGCCTTCAAGACCATATCTAATGACCTACTTCTCCTCCTAGACCCCACCCCTAAAATTTCTACCATCTTCTAATGGTGCTATCAACCAGAAAAAGTCTTTCACACATGAGATTGGGGGCAGTGGTGGTAATGAAGATACAAACCATGTAACAAGTGGATTCAAAACTCTATCTATGTCTTAAACTCGTCCTCCCCACACAGCCCCTGTGACTGCATGGATGTCTACTTACGTTCCCCATGCAGCCTCATCATCATGCAGCCAAATCATAGTAGATGATTTCTATTGTCTTCTTTTGGTTCTTAGCCAGAGACAGGGAATTCTATTTGAACCCTCTTCAGCAATAAAGATTGTGGATTACTAAATAATCTGTGGCGGCAGCTCCCATGTCCAATGCTGTCATTTATTTTGTTTATTTTGTTCTCAGCTGTCTTCCTGCAAATGATAGATTCAATTACAAGGCCAGCTACAGGGTGGCAGCCAGCAGAACTGGGCCACTTGTCGCTGGTTTCACAGGAAGAGAAAACTACTTCCCCTATCTTTGAAATCCCTGAACTTCCCTCCTGTGGAAACCCATTGTTGTGATCAGAAAAGTGATAGATAGTGATTGGCTTTGCTCTGGATTGTGTTAAATTTTTGCTTGTAAATATAAGTGGTTGAGTCATAGACCAGATTTCTCAGCCCTCTGTATAGATTTTTTTTAAATCCTGTTAAAGCTATAGGAGCTACAGAAATTTCTCAGTGGTTAGAGCAAAGACCATCAGTACCCAGCACCCATATGATGGCTCACAGTCATCTATAATCCCAGTTCCAATGCCTTCTTTGGACAGTCATGGGAACCAGGCATGCATGTGATGCAGATACGTACATGCAGACAAGACACTGATACACATAAATTAAAATCAATAAATAAAATAAGACAAATTACATGGCCAACACAGAAAAACAAAGCTGCAGTGGGTACTAAGAAGCCAGCAAGCTGAGTGGAAATTTAGGTAGTATAGCACACTGAATAAAAATTGGAATTCAGGGGTCACCAAAGAGACCCAGAATCACTCGGGCTCTCAGTGGGGACTCTGAAGAGGTACTTACAGAGTAAGGACAGTTCAGAGTGACAACTGCAGAGACGGGTCACAGTGTTCTCCTTGTGTGTTCAACATTCACCTTCCTGGGAATCAATCCACTCTAGAAAAGACAGCATCGTTCAGAAAACCCACAGCTTTTCATTTGAATTCCTCTTCGTAGACTTGTCAAGTACACTGGGAGACAAAGCCAAAGTAACAAACATTTGAAGAAGAAAGTGGACAATGTTAGAACCACAAATATCTCCAGGATGGAGTTGATCAGAGACTGACTTTCAAATACCTGATTAACATCTTTTATTTTTAAATTTCCAAGAATTTTTGTTTGTTTGTTTAGATTTTATTTCATCTTACAGAAAAAGCAGCAATGTCAGACAAAGTGAGTGAGCTGTTTAATGTCGCAGTTCTATCAAGTAACAGAACTGGAATTAGGATCTGAGCACCAGCTGGGTCATTCTGCTACACTACTTCTCAACCCAAGAACTGAGAGTATCAAGCCAGTCACAATGATGGACACTGCTCTGGAGATTTTTGTTCATTTTCTGGGCACCCCTTCAGACATTCCATCCTTCCATACCCTGTTCCCAGCCTCGAGGGGCTTCATTTTGATAAACTAGATGAGATATTGAAGAAGTTCAACATGAAATTGAAATCTGTTTTGGAAAAGTATCGGACACGGTAAATAAGGTTAAAGGAGCTGCCACTTTGGGATTGCCTATGGCATCACTATTCCTGAAAAGACTATTGAAGGAAGGACTCCTCTCTTCTGAATCATAAATGCATTAATACCTTACTTTTTGTCATGCACCTCAGGCAAAACAGTGTGTCACAACAGAATGACCACACTGTGAGAATCTGGAGATGTGTTGAGCAATGCAATAAAAAGATGTGCAAAAATGCAAACAAGCTTAACTTTCTTGCTATTTTGTTTTAGAAAGTATAGTTTTTTTTTACTTAAACTATATCACTTATATGTTTAATATACAATAGTTTTATTATTTCAACAACTTAATACTTACAATTTCAATTCCATTACGCTAAATCTCAATAGATGAGAGCCATACAAATAAAATCTTTCACTATTTCTCAAGTCCTATGACTGCAAGTTTAAAAACACTGATCAGCTGATGCAAAACATTCACCATCCTGTTCTCAGAGAGTTTTTCTTTTATGCTTATTTGTACATATGGAAATTAGCAAGCTATTTCTAAACACAGTGTAGAAAATCAAAGGTTATCAAGAATACTCAACTGTGGTTATCAGCTACCAAGGTGACATCCAAAGCTATAACAATGAAAAGCAGATGAAGAGAACAGAATGGAATCTAGAAATACACCCAGGTATGCTGCTGTTACACTCCGATTAATGCAACTGCAGAGGCAGTACAGAGAACCTTCTTTCAGTCATTTTCCTGGACTGTTTCGAATCCTTGTCAGTGTCTGAGTTAGTCAGTGTTTTAGATTTTAGCCATGGTAGAAAATATGAGGCTATACCTGGAACTTCTCTCCTGACATCTGAGACTGAACATCTTCTCATATTTTATTTTACATCTACACATCTCTGTTAATACAGTATCTGTTGAGCTCTTTCATGACTTCGTTAACTGGGCTGTTTGTTTTCTTATTGAACTGCATGTGTTTGTCATATAGTTTAGATTCAGCAGTTCTCAAACATGGGTTTCACCAACATTTTCTCCTAGTCTGGTTTGACTTTGCATTCTTTTTGGAAAAGCTTTTTAAAAGTCTTTTTAAGGGGGCTGGCTCAGTGGTTAAGAACACTGGCTGCTCTTCTAGAGGTCCTGAGTTCAATTCCCAGAAACCATATGTTGGCTCATAACCATCTGTAATGGAATCTGATGCCCTCTTCTGGTGTGCCTGAAGACAGATCACTCATATACATAAAATACATGAAGAACTAAATCTTTAGGGGCTGGAGAGATGACTCAGATGTTAAGATCATTTGTTGTTCTTTCAGGGGAACCAGGTTAGATTCCCAGTACCCACATGGAAGTTCACAACCATCAGTAACTCCTGTTCCAGGGGATCCAATGTCCTCTTCTGACCTCCTCAGATACCAGGCACATACGTGGTACACAAATATATGTGTGAGAAAATCATTCATACACATAAATTAAATCTTTTGTTTAAAAAGTCGCAATAAAGATCCGGGTGTTGGTGGCACATGCCTTTAATCTAAGCACTTGGGAGGCAGAGGCAGTGGATCTCTGTGAGTTCAGGGTCAGCCTGGTCTCCAGAGCGAGTGCCAGGATAGGCTCCAAAGCTACACAGAGAAACTCTGTCTAGAAAAAAAAAGTCACAATAAAGTATTTTCCTATGTCCTTTTTAAAGATGTTTTATCAGTTTGCCTTTTTGTCCATCTGGAATGAATTTTTCTATATGGAATGAATCAGATCAAGCTTTATATATTTCTCAATCAAGATCCCCTATCATTTCTAGTAAGAATGCAGAATGGGGCTGCTACCTTTAAAAACAGTTGGACTACAAAGCCGAATATGATCTTACCATAGGATTCAGGAGTCACACTCCAAAGTGTTTGCCCAAAAGATTACATGTTGAGTAAACCTGCCCATAAATGTTTACAGCAGCAGGATTCCTCATTGCCCTGACTGAGAGGTACCCTGTGAGTTTGATAGGTAAATGTATTACCAAATGGAAATGGAACATCCTTCTCCAATAAGAAGAAATGAGCCACATCCAGATGTGGAATAGACCTAAGGCATATTGTCAAGGGAAAGAAGCCAGCCTGAAAAGATTGCGTATTATATCATCCTACTTATAAGATGTCTAAGGAAAAATTGGAAGAACAATTAGAAATCAGAGGTTGATTGAGTGTAGAGGAGTAAACTGGTAAAATATGAGAGGTGTGTCATGGTAATGGGCTCACACAATTATGGAGAATGGCAAAGCCCACACTATATACTCACTACCTGCAAGCTGGAAAATGAAAGAAGCCAATATTATACCTCAATACTAATTCCAAGGCCTGAGAACCATCATGGCTACTGGGTGGGAGTCCCAGTATTGACAGCCTAAAATCAGGGATTCCAGTATTGAAGAGCAGAAGCAAACTGGTGTCTCAGCCCAAGAAGAAAGTGAAGAATTCCCCCTGTTTCTACCCTTCTGTTCTGTGTGGAGCCTCCATACATGAGCAGATGCCATCAACACCAATGAGGCTGGTCTTCATCACTGATCTACTGGTAAGATGCCAATCATTTCCTCAGAACACCATAGAAAGCCCTCAGAAATAATGTTGGCCCATCTACTTGGATTTCCCTTAACTTGGTCAAAGTGACACATAAAGTTAACTATTGCACATGGATGGGCCTAAGGTATAGAGCAATGAATAAACCCAACATCAGGAAATTTTAGGTCAAACTATTGTGTGCTGCTGTGACAGAGGATACATAACATCACATTTTGTGAAACATAAATCGCAGAGCCTTAGTCAGGAAGATATTCTGATGTTGCCTCAAGCAGAACAAATCTACCATGTCAAAGCATGGTGTCAGTGATAACCTAGAGTGGAGCATGCGAGTATTTGGAAACCTGGTATTGTCTTTCCTCAGTTGTTCTATAAATCTAAAACTGTTTTAGTGGGTTAAGTTTATTAATTCAAATGAAAGGTATTAATCATACGACCTCATTAAAATTTAGAACTTCTATCTATTAAAAGTTATTGAGAATAAACATTAGGGCCAGTGAGATGACTAACAGGTGAAAGAGCTCAACACTAAGTCTGACAATCCGAATTCAACCTCTCGGCCCCTGAAATCCTCAGGGTGGAAGAAAAGAACCAACCCCCGGAAAGGTGTCTTCTGACTTCTATGTGAGCATGCACACAAAATAAATAAATGTAACCAAACTTTAAAGGGCACAAAAAAAAAATAAAAATGTAACATGGAGAAGACAGCAGATGTGTTTAAGTCATAGAAAGAATTCAGCACTAGACTTCTTAGTCCTGTTCTGTTGCTATGAAGAGACACCCGGACTATGGCAATTCTTTTAAGAGAAGCATTTAGTTCAGGTCTTGTTTACAGTTTTGGAGGCTTCATTATCATCATGGCATAGAGCAAGGAGGCAGGGATGGTACTGGGGAGCAATTGAGAGCTTTATCCTAATCTACAGGCAGCACAGGTTGGTTCTGGTGTCGGCTTCTGAAACCTCAAAGCCCACCCACAGTGACACACCTCCTCCAACAAGGCCACACCCCCTCATCCGTCTAATCCTATCAAACCATTCCACTCCCAGCTGATTAAGTATTCAAGTATATGAGCCTGTGGGGGCCATTCTTATTCAAACTACTACAACGCTCTTTTTGTAAATTAATAGGAAGGACAGACTTCTTATTTGAAGAGGTTTATCACAAAAGAGACTATCAAATCCAAATGGCCAAGAAACATGGAACAAATGTTCTACATCATTAGTTACCAGAAAAATGCTAATTCCAAACAAAATAAGGCATCTCTACACACACTCTAGAATGGTTAGTACTGGAAACACTGATAATATCAAGTGCTGGTGAAGAAACATAGCAACAGAAGCCACATAATGCTAATGGAAATATAAATTGATAAAGTCATTATAGTTATACAACTAGATATGAACATATATGTATTCACCACAGATAGGACACAACCAACAGATCATAGAAATTATTCTACCCAAGTCTATCTCAGTGAAACAGTGAGTTTATTGAGGTTATTTATAGGCATATAGGTGAATATATAATTAGGTTATTTACAGGAGCACAGGTAACTCAGAGGGAGCATTACCCAAAAGCCTACTATGAGTGATAAATTAAGAAATCTGCATCCCTGGTGGTCCCATTGAAAAGTCTGTCCTGGGAAAATGTTACTACTTATTGGGAAGGGGCTTTTTGAATCTTGTAAATTTCATAAGCTTCCCGAGCCTTATAACTTTCACTTACTTCCAGTGCCTTATAACCTTCTTTCCCTCCCCAATTTCAATTACCTATACAATATCATTTCGGAAATCTTTTGCTTGATCTGTGTCTAAGTGATTCAAACCATTTGTGTAAGTCCAACAGAAATGCTTAAGTGTGTATACAACAGTTAAAAGAATAGTCTTAGCATATTTTTAATAGCCACAAAGTAGAAACAACCCAGAAGTTCATTAGCAAAAGGATAAAGTGTGATGTATATATGAAATGAACCACCATAATGAAAAATGAAAATGATTTCTATGTACAACAAGACAGGTGAATACCTCAAAGATATAGCATCTAGCAAGAAAAACACCAGCTAATTTCATTTATACAAAGTTCACAGACAGGTAATGCTCATTTATGGCAAGAGAAAGAAACCAAGCATTGGGTTGTTTTGTGTCTGAGGAAGGATGTGTTCATTGTTACCAAGAGTCTGGCAATCAGCAAGAGGGCTCAGAGTGGCCATCCTCCCCATAGCTTGTACAGTGTGTGGTTAATCAGTGACAGGAATAACTCAGAAAAGTAATAATCTTTGTTTTCAAGACTTACAGAATCTCAAAAGCACCACTAGTGACTAAGTAACAAGGATAGTGATGGGGGAGGTCCTTCTGTGTATATGATTGTCTTATTGGTTGATAAATAAAGTACTGTTGGCCAATAGGAAAACAAGATAGGTGGAATTAGGAGTCAAGGATTCTGGGAAATGTAGTATAAGATCAAGGCAGGAAGTGACATAGCAGGAAGACTAAGTATATAAGCAAGGGGCAAGAAGGAAGTCATTCCTTCCTCTCTTCCTCCTGCTCTCTGCTCTACAGTGGCCATGCGACCCGGGAAGAGGATGACAGTGGAAGGCGTTCTCCATAAGATAAGTCTTATGATTATGGATGATAAGTAAGACTGAGATAATTATCCCTATACCACCCCTGTCTGGTGGTCCTGGCTTCTATAAAAAAAAAGAAAAAAAAAAAGAGCAGGCTGAGCAAGCCATGGGGAGCAATCCAGTAAGCAGCACCCTCTATGGCCTCTGCATCAGCTTCTGCCTCCAGGTTCCAACCCTCCTTGAGTTCCTGTCCTGACCTCCTCCAATGAGGGATTAAGATCTGGAAGAGTAAGCCAAATAAACCCTTTCCTCCCCATCTTGCTTTTGGTCATGGTGTATTAGCACAGTAACAGAAACCATAATTAGTACAATATGTTAAGTCCAAATGAAGTAAACCAAAAGATATATAGCTGCCTAAATCAAACAAGCATAAAGTGCATGAAAGAGCCATAGAAATCTCGTCACATTTAATTCTTTCATTGTATCAAAACATACTCGAGCTTGGTGGTGGTAGTGCACGCCTTTAATGCCAGCACTTGGGAGGCAGAGGCAGGTGGATCTCTATGAATTCGAGGCCAGCCTGGTCTACAGAGCAAGTGCCAGGATGGACCAGGATGCCAGGATGGGCTCCAAAGCTACACAGAGAAACCCTGTCTCCAAAAAAGAGAACAAAATACTGAGGTTCAGATGTGATTATCTCTAATTCGAGGCTCAGATGTGATTATCTCTAATTCCAAGACGCCGAACTATCAATTCCTAATCCCTGTATGAATTGAGAGGCCCTCCTGATATCAAGATTCACTCTTCTACATGCAAACATGGACAGGGTGGGAGGTGGGGAAGTGGGCGGGGGGGGGGAGGAACAACTTTGCCAAAATGAAGGATATAGGAAAAAGCCATCCTATAGCCCCGAAATCCAAGTTTAAAAAAAAGCAAACAAACAAAAACCTAACCCTGCCCTGCTGTAACTTCTGCAGTCGGCAACAGCAGCACAGTGCTGTTCAGTTGTCACTGCACCAGTTAAAGCATGGGCACGTGGGTCATGCTCTGAGACAGAAAGTGGCAATAAATATACACTTATAAAAATCACAAGTCCAGGTCAGCAAGAAGACATCCGAGCCTAGCTGCCTTGGTTCCAACACTTAATGATCAGAAACTACACAGGGCTGCCTCCAAGCTCAAGCAGCAGCTAGCTTACCATCTTCAGGACCAAACCAGTCCAACCAAAGCAAGCTCGACAACACCTCAAGCTCCGTGTCACTTGTCAGAAAGTTTCAAGAAAACATTGCTTGGATGATCTAGAGAGGAGTCATGTGACAGACTGGGCTCTGAAAAATCACTGAGTGATTTAGTGCAGTCGGGCAGACAAGACTTTCTGGGGCAGCTCATCCAAGAGCCGTAGCTGTGCCATGTGGGGCCATGTGGCAGGCTGCATGCTGAGTCACAAGAGCAAGGAAGGGGCACTTCTGAATCACCACGACCACATCCTGCCCCTCCCTCAGCTGTTCCCTAGAAACTGTCTGTCATCTGCTGGGTGAGTTCTCCATCTGAAGGGCAGGTATGCTCAGTGCCCCAAACGCCTGTGAACCTAGGTCCGTTCTCCAAGAGCATCTGGCTCTGTTTCTTCCAGTGGAATGAATGTGTGAAGCTCACTGTGAATATGTGTGATGTCCGTGCACACAGACTTGGATTCAGTGGGATTTTTCACATTCTGTTTGCTGGGTACAACACAGCATCTATCTCCACTTAGACAAACTCTTGAAAGATGGCTGTAGCTGACGTACATCAGAAAGAAAGAGGAGGAACAATACCAACCCGATAACAACTTGGGAGGAATGTGTTCTTTCTTAGAATTATAAGACACGTATTCATTACTGGTGGAGTCTAAGCAAGCATGTCACCCCCCTCTGACTCATCAGGAAAGAATGTATGGCAGGCAACTGAAAATCCTCCCAGTCACCTTCGATCCAGGGTAAGAGGAAAAAGTCAAAACTTTTTTCTTGGTAAAAAGGCAATTTCATAAAATTAGTGCCCGATGTGAGGGAATTAGGGTTTGAAGTATTGGATACTTAGTATAGTAAGTATACAGAGGAACTTGAAATCAGACAAGCCTGAACACTGTTTCAAAGGCAAGAAGCAGATTATACACGGTTTTGATCTACTAAAAAACTTGACAGAAAATCCTACATAGTCTGGTATAGACTGAAATTACTTGGGCAGCTTCAGGTATTTTGTGGATCTGTTCAGATTTTTTTTTCTGTTTTATAAAAAAAAAAGTCATCAGCATTTTGATAGGGATCACCTTCTAGCAGGAGTTCTTTGAGCAGTGTGGGCATCTGAAAAACATGGCATCATCTACTCCATGAAAACGGGTTATCTTCAAATCCATTAACATGGATGTGTTTCCATTTAATTGTATTTTTCTCCAATCATTTTCCTCAGTGTTACTTACCTTTCAGCATACACCTTGCATCTAAATGGCACTATGTTCCTTTTTGGATGGCTCACTGTTAATGTGCACCAATGCTAGTAATCTTTACATATTGATTTTCTGCCCTACAACTTTTCTAAACTTGCTTATTTGTCCTAACAGTATTTTGGTGGAGTCTTGAGCATTTTTTTTTGTAATTATAATAATGTTGTCAGTAAAGACAATTTCACTTCTTCCTTTTCTGTGATGGTGCTTTTGACTTCTTTCACTTTGTCAAATTGCCCTGGCAAACTTTTACTGTGAAAATAATTCCCAAGAACAGTAACTCTTGTCTCCTTCTATTTTTAGGGAAGTTTTCACAATGAGTCCCACCTCGGCTGTGAGTTTGGCATGCATAGTCTTTCTTAGATTGAGATGCACTCCTTCTGGACCTAATTGATTGCAAGTGGTCTTATTTGGGGATGCTGTGCAAAATCGGGGAGGTAAAGGCCTAGCTGGAGGAGGCAGGTCACCCGAGGGAGATCCTTGGGGACACAGGACCATTGTCACTTCTGCCCTCATCCTGTTCTCTGCCACACTGTAATATGAACAGCTGTCTCTGCCATCAGCTCCCACCACTATGGCGTTCTCCAGCTCCTAGTGCCAAGCAACTATGGACTGAGACTTATGGAACCATGAACCAGAATGAACATTTGCTTCCTTTTCCTGTCAGGCATTTCTGTGAGAGCGAGGCAAATGGAACTAATACATGTGACATGTGTCACACTTCATACTGTAAGTGTGATGCATTACAGTTGAACTGTCTTTGTATCGAAGGGACATTGTCTTAGTGAATGATCTTTTTAATAGTTTGCCAAATTTGGTTTGCTAATATTTTGTTGAAGACTCCTATATGTATAGTAGTCAGGAATATTGGCCTATACTTTTCATTTCTTCCAGCATCCATATCTGTCTTTAGGGTCAATATAATGCTGAAATCACAAAATGAATTCAGAAGAATTTTCTCAACCTCGGGTTTTTTTTTTTTTCATCTGTTTGTTTGTTTTTGTTTTAAAGACAAGTCTCTCATTAAACCTGGAAATCACTGCAGCCACTAGTGAGCAATCCCCAAGGAATTCTCCTGCTTCTGGCCACCCAGTACTGGAGTTACAAGTGTGTTCTGTCATGCCAGCTTTTTATACAGTATATTGGGTTTTTATTGCTGTGAAGAGACACCATGACCACAGCAACATTTATAAAGAAAATTTTTAATTGGAGTGGCTCACTTACAGTTTCAGAGGCTCAGTCCACTATCATAAGGATGGGAGCATGGCAGGACACAGGCAGATGTGGTGCTGGAGCTGAGAGCCCTACATCTTGCAGGCAACAGGAAGTTGACTGTCACACTGAGGGAAGTTTGGGCAAAAGAGACCTCAAAGCCCGCCCCCACAGTGACACACTTCCTCCAACAAGGCCACACCTCCCACTAGTGCCACTCCTTTGGGGGCCATTTTCTTTCAGACCACTACATACGGGTACTAAAGACCGAAACCAGATCCCCACCTCTGCATGGCAGGGGCTTCACCAACGGAGCCACCTCCCCACCCCCACTTCTGATTTTCTCTCTCTTCTTAGCCAATAATGCTGACATTTTGTGAGCTGGTTAGTTTTCTCAACTTGATCCAAACATGGACATGACCGGGAAGAAGAAGAGTCAACCGAAGAATCACCTCCATCAAACCAGCCTGTGGGTGTGCGGATTCGTATGCTGGTGGGGTTTTCTTGGTTGCTGATTGATGTGAAAAGACCCAGCCACTAAAGGACGTCCCATCCCTGAGTGCCTGGGCCTGGGTGGTGTAGGAAGAGCAGATGAGCAAGCCAGAAGAAGCAAGCCAGTGATCAGTGTTCCTCCATGACCTGCTTCAGTTCCTGCCTCCAGATTCCTTTCTTGAGTTTCTTCTCTGGCTTCCCTCAGTGATGGACTATAAACCTATAAGCTAAAACTAACACCTTCCTCCCCTGAGTGGATTTTGATCAGTGTTTTAGCACAGCAATAGAAATCAAACAAGAACAGTTTGCCAATCTTGTCTCTTTAAGGAAAATCAAGTTTAGTCTTTTGATGTTTTTCTCCATTTTTTCAATGCTCGATTATTTCTGTTCTATCTTTGCTATTTTTTTCTGCTCACTCTTTTGGGTTTTGTTTTCTTTTTTTCTACTTTCTTGAGCAATAAGGCTACTTAAGTTGTTCTTTTTAATAAGCATTTACTGTTATTAACTTCTCTCATGAATGTGGCATGCTGTGTTTCCATTTCTGTTTGTCTCAGGACATTTTCTGATTTCCCTCTGAAGATCTTCTTTGACTCATGTTCACAAAGCATATTGCTTAATCTTCATGTATTATGAATTTTCTGACATCCTTCCTATTGCTTCCCAGCTTAATACCATTGTGACAGGGAATGACACTTGACATGAGTCAGCTCTCTTAAATGTCTCAGTCCATCCCAAAGAATGTACTGTACTTGAAAAGAATGTGTATTTTGCTTCTATTTTATGGGATGTTTTCTGTGTCTCACAGTTCTATTCACTCTAAAGCCTGATTCTTACCCAATGTTTCTTTGCTATCTACTGAATTGAACCATATACCCATTGTTGACAGTGGGACACTGAGGTCCCCAAACTCTGTTGTATCACAACCTACATCTCCAGATCATGTAATTTTTTATGTCTAGCTGTGTCTATGTTGGGTATAGGTATAATTTTAATAGCTTCTTGATAATTTAATTCTTTATTATTGTATAATTGTTGTGGAACATTAGTTGAAGAGGTGTTACATTCGTTTATGCTGTGGAGCATTTGTTTAAGGATGCAAAGATGTGCTGCGCTCTTTCATGTTGCATTTGTTTAACTCTATGAAGTTGTGTTACGTTGCCTAGCTAAAACACCTGATTGGTCTAATAAAGAGCTGAATGGCCAATAGCTAGGCAGGAGAAGGATAGGCAGGGCTGCCAGGCAGAGAGAATAAATAGGAGAAGAAGCAGAAGACAGAGCGAAAAAAGGAGAGGGGATGCCCGCCAGGGGCCAGCCACCCAGCAACACAGCCAGACATTGAATAAGAAGGAAAGAAAATATATACAGAAATAGAGAAAGGTAAAAATCTCAGAGGCAAATGGTAGACAGGACAATTGAAGAAAAGCTGGCTAGAAATAAGCCAAGTTAAGGCTGGGCATTCGAGAAAGTCTCCATGTGATTATTTGGGAGCTGGGTGTTGGGTTCCCAAAGAATAAAGAGGAAAAAAAGCCTGTACATAATGACCTTCTTTATTTATCTTTTGCAGTTTTTTTTTAATGTATGTTCCATTTTTTAAGTGTATGCCGTGCGTGTGGCATCCTGAAAGACCAGATAGTGTCATCAAATGAGAGTTACAGATGGTTGTGGGTCATCCTGTGTAGGTTACTTGGCTTTATTTCCTTTCTCAGGTGTTTCAGTTCCAGGATTCTGCAATCTTCTATCTTTCGTCGGTGCCAGGGCATTTCAGGAGGGAGGACTGCTTGTAGCCTTTATTGGTATTTTTGCTGTTTAGCTTGAGTTTCCAGATGGCCAGCTGGTTGTAACAGGGAATACTTATTACCAGGTTCTCTAATTGGGCCTGACCTTTGCTCCAGAATCAAATGGAGCCCATGGCTAGGGTTATGCTCTCTAGTGAGATCATGGCTGGACTCTGAAGTCAGACAGAATTCTTAGCTGGCCACTGCAATTCCTCAGAATCACAGACTGGATTCTCTACCAGGCAGTACAATTAGCATTCTGTAGTTGGGTAAGGCTGCCAACTAAGGTCTGAGCTTAGAACCATGGCTTGGAATGGGTGAATCCAGAGGCTACACTGCATAAAAATGCATGGTTGAGGCTTGTTTCCTGACCTGGGTGGACTCCACACTGTTCATCTGGGTTTCTACAAGTGACAAGCATGGCTTTGTGGGTGGGTTATGCTGTTAGCTGGTTTCCTTGACCCAGCACCAGTGTAAGCAAGAGCACAGAGCTGCCTCTGTGTCCTTCAGGTTTTCCCTTTCCTTATGCCTGACCTTGGAGGCCTCACCCTGCAATTACCCAGTGTTTCCCTTGAGGAGAGACAGGAACGCACTTCCTGGTAGCATCTTGAAATGCTAAGGAAACCAGTGACTGTCTACTGAGCTCTTTTCTCAGTGTGGAAACTGTAGGTTCCCATATCTCTGTGCAAGAGAAGGGGGAGGTCAGAGGTCAGAGATCAGAGATGGGGACCATTGTGATCTGAGACATTCTTCTTACCCTTCTATGTGAGTCTTTTGTTTTAGATGATTTTAGGTTGTCTGGGCCATGCCAGTTTCTCAGATTTGTTTTCAAGATCAGGCTTTTCACAAAGTGTTCTTGTCTGCAAAAATTTGATGGAATTCACACTTTGCTTAGTGGGAAAGGTGGAGGCATGGAGCCCCTATTCTGTCATCTTGCTGATTCTACTCCCCTCAAGTATCTCTGTATAAACTTATAATCCTTCCTCCCACAGCCTGCTAACATCACATTAAGCTGCACATAACACAATTCCACATACCCTAAGCTTAGAACTACTTCCAGAGGATCTGGAAAGTCTAATAAATGAAGTAAAACGATGCATAAAAATCAGGGCTAGGATGCTGGTTTGAACAGGGGTACCAAACACGCTAACCACTAAACTGGAGCCTGGAGCTTCTGAATCACAGGACAATCTACAAGCTAAATATAGTTTCTCTCTTCACTGACCACTGGAAAGATGACTAGCCAATAGTGGCTACTTTGTGCCTACTATGTGTCACAAACTATGCTAGAGGTTAAGCTAAGACAATGTCTACTTCTAAAGAGTCCAGCTTAAAAGGTGAACAATCACACAAATGCTACAGTGGAGTTCCAGAAGTGGTGTGAGGCAGAGGAATGAACTGGCTGTTACCGATACCGAGAAAGCTTCCTGAGGCTTGAACTCAGACCTTCACATACATGAGGCATGTGCTCCACAACCCCAGAAAGATGCTGGCCCATCAGAATGAGTAGAAATGACTGCACAGCCCTCTAGGTGGGTTTTTTGTTTGTTTTGAGGTGGTTTTTCCCCCTACTCATGTAAAATTCTTGTTATACTATTATGGAGATAGATAGATAGATAGATAGATAGATAGATAGATAGATATAGATATCCTTATCTAAAAACAACAAAAAATCAAATCAATGCCCCAAAAGGCACTAAATATTCTGAGAGAATAGCAGGCATAAGTGTGTAGTTAGAGGTATTTGTGGACATTCTTTACCCTGTACTTCAGATAAGAACATAATATCTATTGTTGTCCCTGATTTATTTGGTAATAGCTGGGATTTTTCTGTTTTTTTTTTATCAAACAGGAGAATAAAACTGAACAAAAGATTAGACTGATGCACAAAAGTGTCTGACTGGAGAGACAGAAATGATCAGCAAGCAGTCTAGGCATCTTGACTTTTGGTGAGGATGCTTTACCACTGTTTAAAACTTCTTTTCCTAACAGAGTTCAGGAAGATTTCTATAACTTTCCTGGTAATGGGTCTTAGATCTCATCTATTACATAAAACACAGTGTGTCAATTCGTAATTACAAGTTAAAACAATCTGGAACCCCTTAACCCCTAAAGATGGGATTTCTCAAAAGCTTGACTTGTTCTGAAGAAGTAGTTTGTTACCACAAAGTCTGTGAGCTGACTTCACCCCCCTTCCCCAAATATGTGACTCAATCTCTGAATGATTTGTTGTCAAGTGATTACAAAGACATCCTGACATTTGATTTCCAGGCTGACCAGCTACTGCTGGAATGAATTAAATTTTTTCTGCCATTTTAGTGGGTAAAGAGCACAATCATGAGTCAAAAAGAGCTGTGCATGGTGGTGCATGCCTTAAATCCCAGCTCTTGGGAGTTCAAGGCCAGCCTGGTTACAAAGTGAGTTTCAGGACAGCCAGAGTTGTTACATAGAGAAATCCTGAAGGAGGAGGGGGTGGAGAAGGAGGAGGAGGAGGAGGAGGAGGAGGAGATGTAGATTCTGGAAAGCCAGGCAGTGGTAGCACACACCTTTGATACTAGAACCTGGGAGGCAGAAGCAGGCAGACCTCTGAGTTTGAGGCCAGCCTGGTCTACTGAGCAAGTTCCAGGACAGCTAGCCAGTACTACACAAGAGAAATTCTGTCTCAAAAGAGAAAAAAAAAAAGAAAGAAAGGAAAAGAAAAAGAAAAAAAATTCCTGGAAGAGTTGGTTTCCTTGCTAAGGTCTTAGGAACAAACACCCCTGTCCACTTTCTATGCTTCCTCACACTCCAAATTAGTCAAGCAAGCTCACTGCTTGTATATTTGTGTAACAAGCAATGCTAAGCAGTTTTGTTAAAAACCGTGTGTGGTG